TTGAAGGCACAGCCCGCAATGAATAGGGCTTCGAAGTTTCTTTGCCAAACAGGAATGGTTAGCCTTCACTGAAAGTACTAATGGAGAGGAAGAACAAGAAATCTATGGTCTCTGAAAAGGGCGCATGAAAAGTTGAGTCACGTAGGAAAACGCAACTCAGCACTCCCACGAAACGACGTGTTGGTGGCCCCAAAAGCGCGATCCCATTCGAAATGGGGCACGTTTGCTGTAAAAGCGATCAGCTGATGCACGCTATGAGTCAAATCACGTTGCTCTGCAGGGTTTTCCGCCTGAACACGCTCTTCGCAGTCACGATTTCGTCCAATTTGAAGAGGACGAGTTCAACTTTTTTGCCAGTGATGAACTATTCCGCATCAACATTTTCTCTCTCTAAACTAATAGAAGTACACGAAAATCAATTTAAGTACGTAGAAGTATCGGGATTTGTGCCTTTCGAGAGAATTGACCTTTTGCTGATCAAAATTAATCCTTGAACTAAAGGTTCACGTGACTAAGGAAAAAATAATCTTGAAGGAGAAGCCATAGACACTGGAAAATGATTTTAACACCTCTAAAAAATCCGCAACGCTACCTTTGCAGAACACCTTAGAAGTCCCTGCAAGAATGACTATTCCGAGGTCTGTTCCTGATTGGGGCCGGATGTTTGCCCCCAGATCAGCAATCTTTTCATGTATCTTGCATAGGAAACTGCTGCTACATATGAACCCTACCAGCATGGAAAAATAATGAAATTTTCTGAATTAACAAATCCCTACCATGACTAGGGCTTCGAATAAATTCTCCTTTGGATCATTATCGTTCCCATGGGGAGCGGTGGTGTGATTTTACTTCATACTCCAAACTAGTGAGCCCGGCGCTCTCTGAAAAATTGCCCCTCTACTCCACCAAGGATTGTACTGGCGCAATCCACTCACTCATCACTTCGAAGGGTAATATATGCATATATTCACATCGACCTTTTTAACTGAACGAAATTCTACTCAGGAAAGTGCGATGAACGAGTAGCATTTGATAAGAACTTGCACGGTGACTGAATTCAACGAAGAATGAACAAAAAAAATCGTCTCAAAATTCTAGTGCAGTAAAGAAGAGCTCGCTCAGCTTTAAACAAGGATTAGTACCATTTTCACAAAGATAAGCGCTTGGGAAACTAAAGTTCTCAGGAAATTGAAGAGAGAATATCTTTTCACTGTTCAGTAACATATGTCTATGAGATCGATGCAACAGAAGAATGGCTACTAAACAATTTGAAGATCTTTGAAATTTCAAGAAGTGTTCCCTAAAAAGGATTGCTCATATTTCAGTCAACGCTTCTTTGATCTGAAACTTTGATCCTATTCGAAGAGGTCGATTGATGTAAACGCGACCGCACATAGTTTCGAGTAATGCTCGAACCTGACAGACGGGAGCTCGGGAATCAGAAGATCTGAGAATCCTACTAAAAGACTGACAAATACTTGTATAACATTGATTATTCCCTCAAATCCCGACTGATCATTCTAGCAAAGTGCAGTAGGTGGGACAACTGATGAGGCTCCTTCTGAAACGAGTTCGTCTAGTTGGAGAGGCTGCGCGAGCACGACGACTTCGTACGGATGCCCGATACGACTCAGACGAGCAATTAGGAGGAAACGGCTTAGCGATGGTAATTGTGAAAACCGTGAAGGTTGGTGCTCATGCAGTCAACAAAGAAATATGCGTCCAAGGAGGACGGTGGAATAAATTTTCGGAATTCATGCAGCACTTCGTCATATCTGTCCGACGGGAAGATAGCTGCCCCTGCATTTCCGAAAAGCTCTGACATTATATACTCAAAAACAAAATGCATACGAATGCATTTCCGTTCTGCCTCGGCGATGCTGGTCGTAATGATGCATTTCATCAGCTACCATGAGCTAAGCTCGTAAAATTTAATGGCCAGTACAAATAGTAGTGGAGAACACATAAAAGGGGGGTTCTTACAAAGGAGATGTGAGGATTCGTTGAGTGGACGAAGACGGGTTCGTACAGATTAAGAGGGTTTTCCGAACCTTTTATTTTGCTCGCTCGGCGACATTGATCCAAGTGACAGCTGCGCTAATTCTGGCACCTACTAATCCTCTACCGCATCATTCTCACTCACGCGCTCATCTCCACACGTCCACGCGTCGCTATTCCCCCTTAACGACGCTCCGAAACGCAACCGACCAAACTAATCATCACGTCTTTAGCAGGACCTCGAAAAATAGGGGTATATGACATTACCTGGAAGAAGGTTGGATAATAAGAGCTTCCACTATCGTGGAACCGAAAGAGGACCACGTGAAGTGGTAGAGAAGAGCATCCAGCAAAATCGTTCTGATGGACGGGGAGATAACAGTTCGAAGTCTTTTGAAAGAGCGAAATGAGCGCAAAGATTAATCCTTCTCTGCAAAGTCTGCCCCACTCTATCACTTCCTTAACAGAACCTGCTGCTGACCCCCTTCAGGGCTTCAATATAATCAACATCGTGGCGGATTTCATGCAGCTCTTGAAAATCCTATCTTTGCCAACAAATTTTTGGGGTAGTTGTAATCACAGAAGAGACAACAATACATGGAAGATCCGAGACGGACAACAAACAACGATTTGTTGAACCTTGCAAAGCACCCCCAGTGCCGACTATATGTATAGCATCTAAATGAAAATCCAATAAAATCCCCTCTTGGGACTAGGTCGAGAGATCGCTGGTGAACAACAAAGCAAAATCGCAGAAGAAGCCCGGAAATTCCCCAGAAACATGAGCTGCCAGAGGTGGTTAACTAGGGCCGAAGAAGAGCAAAGGAGCGACGGCATCATACGAAAAATCGTTGATGAACTATCAAAGAATAAAAGAAAAGATCATGAAAACATTGTAAGCGATGGCATAACAAAATACATCNAGGTGTCATCCTGCCAGGATCTCTGATTCATAAAGAATCAACACTTTTCATGTGACAGGGGGGTTCTAGGCCGGCCTGTCACCTGCATCCGAGGGTCCACGTTCAGCTCAGCCTGCCTGAGCGAGCAGTTCCCAGTGGCACCCCGTGAAGGCACGGACAACACCATCGGTTTTGTCTTTAGTGGCCTGTCTAAAAGAAATGGAAGCAACGGAAGCTCGGAGTAACGGAAACGGAAATGCTACGATGGACGGCTCGGGTCACGCACTCAGACTATGTTCCCAATGATGCAATAAGGGAGTATTTCGGAGCGGATAAAGGCAGCGTGTAGGATCGGCTTCGGCCTCAACTAACTCGGAAAACGGCCTGAGGAGTATCAAAAGTAGCGCTTTATCGATAAATCGCATGAAGAATGAAAACTAGTTGCTTTTCACTCCGACCCAGGATTTCAACGGGAGAAGTCCGTACACCAGAAAAGCCGACGCCACTCCTACGTGGTCAAACGCTGGAAAAGAAGAAGATGTCACCCTCCAGGAGATACCAGACCTCAAGTTCACAAACATACACAGTTGCATACATTTAGCTGTTCATCAGTTACAACAAGGCATCTTGAGGAAATCACATCAAAAGAGCTCGAATTATTAGAGAATTCAGCGAGTGGACTTGTGACTGGGAACTTAAAAGGGGAAAGAAACATCGCCCTTATCCCGAGGCGCCGAGGTGTTATCATTCCATCAGCCTCGGGAGCTCATGCGTGAGGGCGAAAAGCACTTATTAACAAAGACGACAATAGGTCTCGATGAAGCTCAAAGATAGTAGGATTAAGAACTAGATATCAATAATGGATATGGTGCACTATGGTTTTTCGTCGCACTTCTGAACCCTACTCTACATCAAGTGTGGTCGACTGCAATTCAGTGGAGCTATTAACGACCACGGATATCGTCGATGCCAGTTTCAGAACAGTTTTTACTACCATTTTCACATCTGAAAGACCGGCTTTCAGTGAAACGTTATCAACGCACAAGCTGGATACTCAGGAAATTTGCTTTCTCAAAAGGCATTTGCTGCTCGTACAACGCTTCCCTTCATTTAAAGTGGAAAAATTTGAAAAAAAAACACTCCTCACTGAAATGGAAAAAAAGGGCTTGGAGAAATGTGGAACAGAAGCTTGAAGCATCGGTAATTTGTTAGGGGCGCTGAGAGATAGACTGGCCATGGTCTAATGTAGGGGGATTCAAGTGCAGTATCGGGAAAATACTGCATACACGTTAGGGCCACAAGTGGGCGGCATCAAATTCTTGGCGTTTTTCTATTCACAGCTATACCCATACTCTCGATGGTAAAATCAATCGAAATAATTTCGTCGATTTCCCGGATCCTGAAAAAAGTGTGCATTTGAAAGGGATTTAATTGTTCCAACTCTTCTAACATGTACGCCCCAAGTTGATTCATCCAATTTTCCCTTCATTTGAACCATTCTCACGAGCCCCAGACAGTGGATTCCACCGAAATGTCAACTAACCTCAAATAGGAGCGTGCACCCGTAACTGTTTAATGCACTTCTTCGGAGGGCAGTAACTTGGATAATGGTGGTGAGGAAATGTGAAATGAGGGCCTCTGAGCGTTTAGTACTTTCTCTCCACCCTGTGTATATTCGAAGTATACATAGGGTATTCGAAGTACAGTGGAGGAGGACACTGCGATCCAGCGGCTCCCATAAGGACAACGCAGTAAGTTGAGGGCATCGCCCCAATGGGAAACCCCAGAGAAAGGCCTGAAAAGATGAGCTGGAGGTGTTAGAGCTCATTCATAATAGAGAAAGCTTTCATCAATGGGTGATAACGGTGTCAGGCAATCTCAGACCTCTCCTGCTGAGAAGGTTCATATTCGTTGGCACTGGGTTATCGAAATGGTGAGTCTGCCCACAACAACAGAGCAAAGACCTCCAACGTCAGCTGCTCTCGGCTCCCTTTCATTGTTGAACAACATAATAATAATATTTTATGGTAGAACATTACTTGACAGAGACCAAAATGGAGTTGCATTAGGAGAAATGGGCCGAAAGAGGATGAAATCTAATGAAAAGCGTTCGCAGTGAGACTGAATGAGCCATGAGCCTGAGAACGCAACCAGTCCTAAATGTCCCGTTTTTGAACCCTTTGAAAAAATTCCTTCAATCCATAAACAATGAAGAGAATTGACTATATATGGGTCACCGTAGTGGACCACTTCGACCCATCTTCAAGTTGTAAGGTGTATAGGCTGAGCTGCATCACAAAATCGCAAAAGAAGAGCAGTAACGGCTAGGAAAGAATTTTTAAGTGCGAATTCACCATTGAGCAGCGGATTCTCATGTAGACAAAAAATTGGTTGAATAGATAAGACGAATCCCTCACTGTTTTCATAGTGAAACAATCCGATTACTTCGAAAAAACGCCATAACCTTGAATCAGCACATCAGCTTCCCCAAGTAAAAAGATGTCTTACTGGTCAAATACGCACTATTGCTACGGCGATGGGTAGAACTGAAAAGCTCGGCCCATTCCAGAACAAGACAGACTTCATCAAGAACTTCCTCAAACTCAAAATATGTATTCAGAAGATGTGCGGATGTCCCGGAGTGTTCGATCGAACAACGAACTAAGGTGGAAAGGTCTCCCTCCGTGGAAGATCAGACTTTTGGGTGAACATTGTGGAACAGAGATTTTCGCACTAAAACTGGCCCCTTATGAGTGGCAAAAGTGCATCCCTGTTCCCATTTTCATTCCCAAGGATAAATTATTGATGAGAAGACTTTTGACCTGGCAGTTATAGATAGACTTATGTAGTGTGATTTATGCGCTATCCTGTAAGAACTAATCCCTAAAGAAAGGCATTGTCCTTAGAGAAGTCGTTTCCCTACATTCCCTTGAATAATGTGGGCTCAAGCCTGAATACGTAGGACCGAATCTCCCTTCATCAAAGTCAGATTCAATGAGAAATGGGTAATTGCAAAGGAACTCATGAAAGAAAGCATAGATGTTGAGTGTGTTGGTCATATGAGAAACGAGAAACCCGCAAAGTGATTCTGGCTTCTTTTACAGGTACAGAGAAAGTACGAGAAGAACGTGCCGGCTTGGATATGTTCGTATAACTGAAGCGAACACAGCCAGTCATACCTCATCCTCCCTTAACCACTCGAAGGAATTTGTTCCCGAGGTATTACTGCCTGCTTTCAAGGTTATTCATTGCGCCATTCGCAAATCTTTTTCCAAGGCAATAAGGCCACTCGTCAACCAACACTCATGCCACCTGCATACCTCAGCTTCCTAGCAAAACCAAGCTTTGGCACGGAATGCCTCGATTAACATATAAACGAGTGGGAGGGAGGAACTATAAAAGGGCCCCTGGAAAAGATGGGAAGAAAGGTCAAAATGAACAAGCAATTTCCAGTCATGGAACAACTAGGGAGTGTGTAGTGATGGGCAAACTCATAGATAAGTATTAAAAAGTGAAAAGGTGGAGACCTTCGGTTCAAATGGATCTTTATCGTCTATCGTCTGGCTAGATCAATGACATCAAAAAGCCACGGTAGCGGCTGGAAGAACGCCCCAAGACATAATCAACAATTCACAGTAAACTGCAATATTCATTACTGCCACCAACAAGATGTAATGATGACTCTACTTGTCCAATTTTTCGCAAAGTATCCTTCAGAATGCAGTTTTGCTGATGATGCTTTTGAATAATGCCATTGAAGACCTCTTTCCTCTAAATTTTCGCCCCTGGCAATCAAAAGAGCTGAGACCGCGTTCCGACGGGACATTAATTTTCGGTTTTCAAGAATTTGCCAGTACCCTCCGATGGTAGACAGAGATACTGAGTAGTCCACGCAGGGCCGAACTTATCACTTTTGTACCAT